TTGAATGTGGGTTGCCCTGTCTATTTCTATGTGGGATGCAAAAAGGTCCTTAAATCACCAGTACTTGGGCACTGCGCGCCGCGCCGGCCGCCCAAATCTCGAAGCAGCGTGGGCTGTCGATTCGATTTATCGACGGCCCGCCGGCTGCGGAAATCACGTAGCGTTAACGCTAAGGTGTCGCCCAAGTACTGGTGGTTTAAAAAAATCCCTTGTGATTTTAGTTCATCTTGTTGTCAACCAGGTTGGGCCAAGTCCCCCGCTTTGGGGTCATGGAGGGCTTCAATTGTGGTTTGTCTGGCTTGTGCTTTAGCAAGGCCGAAGAATTGGGCATCCATTATTCCTTCCCTTGAGTGTCTAGAAATTCTCCCTCGAATTATCGCCCTCAAATTCCCTTGAGTGTCTCCCTCGAATTCCCTAGAAATTCTCCCTCGAATTTCCTTGAGTGTCTGCCATTGGTGTCCGAGCTTGTGCCGAGGGTGTCTGTGGTTTCCTGTTGTTCGAGATTTGTGTAGATGTAGCATGGTTTCAAACTCCTGTTGGTAACGTTATGCTGCTAACTCTTTAGAGAATGCATTACACTTTTTTGTGAGGTAAAAAAAGTCATTGTTGAACCACTTAATACGAGAGTCCAATTTTGGTCCTTCCGATATTCCCATGTCAGCAACTGGCGGCCGAAGGACGAGTTATCCTTAGATAATCAAGTGGTTGTACCAGCCAAAACTCATTTACATAAGACCATATTCTTTTGAGACTCTAAGTAGGATACATTTTGAAGCAGTTTTGCCCACCACTTCCTGCCCAGCAATTCGACGGAGATGTCCAAATTGCTGCACTTCATGCTTGGAGGCTCGCAAGACTCCGTCAAGTACAAAATACAGGCAGGTTTTGCGCTATCATGAAGGGTCAAAGAGAAAGCACCTGGTAGAATTAGCAAAATTTTTTACAGGTTAAAAATGATTTTTTTTGTGACTCAATAGAGGTATTTTCATAGGAATTTTATTTATTGTAGTTTTTTTATGGAAAATAACTGCAGTTCCTTTTCATATGTGGGCACCTGATGTACACGAGAGTTCTCCTTAAATAAAATAAGTCGTGTCCATCTCGCTGTCGACTTTTGCAACATCTCCTTCCCTATCGCGCCTGAGAGGAGAGACAATGCAAAGGATCATTTCGTTTGGTCTTTTTT